TTTTGATGATGCCAAAGTGATTATAAAGCATTGAAGAAGAATCAAGGTTGAGCTAAAGCAAGTTGATGCAAGAACAAGATCTCAATTGGTACATAGATAAGTCTTGTCAACTTAGCTAAGTATGTAAAAGAATCTTTTGAAATTGCAAGTATGCTTGGCCTTGAGAATAAGTTTTCAAAAATCTCAAATTAATCTCTTTAAATTTAAACAAGTTTTTAATCTTTTGAAAGTAAGTAAAAATGTTTTCAAAAGACTTAACAAAAGCTTTAAAGAATAGTTCAAATCATTTCTTAAAATACATTTGTGAAAGAAATTATTGAGATGAAGTTTTCTACATAAAAGTTTTTGAAACAATAAAAAAATATGTTCTGGTAATCCATTACCAGACCCTGTAATCCATTACCAGAACAGGAAATTTCAAAGTTCAAATTCTGAATACAAAATGTGTTCTGGTAATCGATTACCATACCCTTGTAATCGATTACCAGATGATAAAACTTCAAAATTTGAATTTAAATTATACAACGTTTCAATCATTTTGAACTTTAACCGTTGTAATCGATTACCAAGTCTTGTAATCGATTACCAGAGCCTATTAAAAATTATAGAGAGTTACAACTCTTCATGAAAAGGCATAACTCAAGATACAATTGTCTATAAATACCTATAATTTTTCAGAAAAAGGTGACGAACTCTATTGTGAAAATAATCTTTACAAATCACTTGGCAAAAATCATTTGCAAAATCTCTAAAGAGTTCATCAAAGATCATGAAAGTGTAATATCCACTTTTCAAGAGAGTCATTCTGTATTACTTAATAGATCATTGGATCTGTAAAGGAGAAAGGGTTTTTCTCCTTCTTGGTGTTTGAATCTCAACACAAGGAAAGGGAGTTCCGAGGTGTTGGAGGATTCATTTTCTTGTAAGGTTTACAAGAGTAGTGGAATTCTCAAGTGGGAGACTTGAGGACTGGATGTAGGCAGAATTGGCCGAACCAGTATAAAATCAAGTTTGCAATTCTTCTTTTCCTACACTTTTATTTATTTGTTATTTAATTGTGTTTGAGTTGTTCTTCATCATCATTCTTTACATGCTAATTTGTCTAAGTAAATAAAGTGATAAGAAAGTAATTGGAAAAGTTTTTATAAGAGGAAAATTTAGAAAACTTAATTCACCCCCCCCTCTTAAGTTATACGAGGCTAAGGGACTAACAACTTTAAATTTGTATAAATAAGCAATTTCGAACATATAAATTGTATTATAAAATTCTGATCAATAATTTATATTATGAAAGATTATTTTTAATTATGAATAAATTACTTTAAAATACTAAAATTTAAGTAGAAATAAATACAATAGATACAAATTGAAATGGATAAGAATAGGGATGGCAAAAATACCCGCACCCGCGGGTATCTACGGGTAAAATCCGCTACGGATAATAAATAGATAGACTAATTGGGTACCCGCGGATAATGGGAACGGATAAATTTTTACACGTTTATAAACGGGACGGGGGCGGGTAGGATGATATCCATACCCGCGGATACCTGTTTAATAATATTTCTTAAATATCCTAATTATCCTTGTACCACATAACCCTAAAACTACATTCTCTCATCTTATTTTCTTACAAAAGTGAGGTTGATGAAGTTACCAACATGTGTTAAGCATGTTATAGAATTATGTTGGATGTAATTTGATTAATTTTCTATCTTTGATTGGACCAATAAGATTTATGTATTTTAAGTTGTTTACTTTCATTTGGAATTTTGAGATTGAATTATTGTAGCTATGTAATATGAGACTTTCACTTACTTCTGAAATTGATGTATTTTAAGTTATTGAGTATCTTTCTTTTTTTATTATTATTTTAACAAAATTAAAATTGAATTTTTTTAATATTTCAATGACATTAAATATAAACTTAAAATTATTTGCAACATAATTTTTTTAATTTCTTAAAAAATTTATAAATATCCATGGATATCCGTGGGTATTGAAGAAATTCATGGATACCCGCGCGGATATGGGGTGAGTATGGGGAAATTTTAAATGTGATTTAGTAGAATGAAAAAAAAAAAAATCAAATCTGTAGCCAGAACGGGCCGTTCCGAATTCAGAACGGCCCGTTCTGGTTTACGTAATCATGTTATTTTTAAATCTGGAACGGGCCGTTCTGATTTCGGAACGACCCGTTCTGGTGTAGTTATCATGTGTTTTTTTTTCTTCTAGAACGGCCCGTTCTGGTGCATTATTCCTGTGTTATTTTTTCATCTAGAACGGGCCGTTCTGAATTCGGAACGGCCCGTTCTGAAAGTGACAGACCGGCCCGTTCTGAAAGTGACAGACCGGCCCGTTCTGAAAGTGACAGACCGGCCCGTTCTGAAAGTGACAGAACGGCCCGTTCTGAAAGTGACAGCTACTGCGTCAACCATCGTAATACGTGTTTTTTTTAGGTAATTTAAAAAAAAAATTCAGTAAAAAATTCAGAAATTTTATCCTGTGTGTGAAGGTGTACAATATATTTTCTCACTAAATCACAATCTCAACCATTCATTGTTTTTAATATTATATCTATGGTAATTTTAGATGCAACACCCATGGACCACTTGTCCAACTTCTCTATCATAGACATCACCCGATTCTTTGACCAAATCAAACGTAAAATTCCGGGATTGTAGTTGTGGATGATTACATTAGAAAAAAAGATAAAATCAATGCAATTCCAAAGTGCACTGCCCCGAAAACACTACTTAAAAATCTCACATCAACTAAAACTAATGGAATGATCATACTAATATTTATAAATGAAAAACAACCCTCACCTAAAATTGAGTTAAACTTAAATTCACTTTCTTAAAAATCTTGGTCAAAGGCAAAGAAAGGATGGTTAGACAGGTTGAGTTCCCACGTGATTAATGTAAATGAATATGGTGCCACCACCACCCATCAAGTCTTGCCATCAATGCAAGGTCCTCTTGCTAGAAATTGATTTATTGTTTTAGCTTCACATTAAATTCTCAATAATTATGGCAGCTAACGTGATTCTCAGTAGATTTTTCTCATGCTTAATTTCATGTGGAAGAATTGATTACGACTCCAAAATTTTGATTTCGAGTTTAAAACACCTTTAAATAACTTTTGCTCGTATCAAATTATATTTGATATATTGATATCTGTTTACCACCAATACTAACCTGAACTGATCAAAGATAAATATTAAAATTTCAACGAAGTTACATGTATGTTACATTCTCAACTCTGTTCACTCAAGGACCGCAGATACAAAACATATCAAGCTCCTCTAGCGATACTGACTTCCTGGGTGCTGCATGCTATATGAACGTCCAACTTGAGGGATCTGATCATGAATAAAGTTACACCACTCCTGAAGGAAGTCGAAGTACCAGTTGTCCCCCAACAAGACTGTAGCCAAGAAAGAAGAAAAAAAGACGTCAGAAAATTGACAAGAACATGTCTATATGTTGCCTATTCTGAGAATTTTATTATCCACCTCTTGACGTAGTAGTAGCAAAAATCTGCCAGGATGAAAGTTTGGACAATTTCTGATAGAAGAACCATAGAAGGCCACAATCCATAACCCAATGCAGTAAGTAGACGCCCACGAGTATCTAATACCTGATGAAGACAAACAGGTTACACAGCCATGGTCTTAAAAGAAGTTTTTGTTTCAATAAACTTCTTAACAAATACTTAAAGGGGAAAAAAGTTCAAAAAAGATAACATTAATAAAACTTGTCGCACAAATTAAAATCAATCTATGCACTTCAACTTTTTTTGGAACCCCATTCATCTAACTGCTCCATAATCACCTAAGAACATAACAGCCCGGCATTCTTGTCTCAAAAGTCTTAGCAATAGAGTTTTTCCACTGAAGAACTTACATGAGGTAAAAGCAAATCAAAAGTGGAACAAAGTATATGGTCGGGCTATCAATCATAGGATTTTGAAGGTTGACATGGTAAATGGATAACTGGCAAGCCAAAGGTCATACTGCCAAAATTCTTATGCAACAACTCTCCTTAGAGACCATCACAACCCTCTTGAATTAGTTTGAAGTAGGTGCGTCATACAGAAACAGTCAAGCAAAGACTTGTAATAAAGTAAGCATGATCCAAGGGTATTAAATATGAAAATTTTCCATACCACCAAATCTCTGGGATATTATGATAAATTCATATATGTATTTCTGGAATTGGGTGATAAAAAAGAACTCAAGCAGTGAAAATTCTGACAAACCTGGAGAACCCAATGTGCACAACTCAAGAACCTAGCAACTCCGAGGGCAAAAACATAGTGAGCCGTGAATGGTTCAACAATCTGAAAGTTGAATTTAAAAATTAAATCTGACATTATTCCGACTAAAGGAAAAGTTGAATGATATCTACAACTGTGTTTAGGAAGACTAACTAGTAAAGGAAGATGTAATAACCAAATCATAACAACCATTTTAAAATATTAAAAGATGATAAAGAAAAGGTAATAGGCAGAAATGTATATCATTGAGACCTTAGTGTTCTGCATGACCCGCAACTGAGGAAGAACAGAAACAGCTTCAAGATAAACACAAAATGCCCAGAGAATCCTATTAACTGTGTGATGCCGGGTTGTCGGATGAATAAGCAAGGACAGCAAAGCACAAGGTATCACCTGCATTTTGGTAAAAGAAAATTAACTTTATACTCAGCAAATGAATCGTTCATTCATTTAGACACATGGAAGATAAAGTATCCTGGTTATAAAAGATAAAATATCCTAGTTCTTGTGACAAAAACACTTTCATTTTAAAGATAAAGTTAGTTACTTGTGTTTGAAACTAAGACATTTCCATTCCAGAAATTCACAGGCAAAGGAAAAACCGACAAAAATAGTAACAAATGATAAGGTGAAATTCCCGCTGTCTTGAACCCATTTTGAGATTTCAAAATGTGATTCATCAACAAAAATATATAAATAAAAGATGAATTAAGCACTCCTCCAAATCACCTTCGTCGCAGTCAGACATTAGGATAGGACCTCTGTTTTTGAACAGGTAATCAAGCCAAACAAGCAAGCAGGAATCACAGAACACATATTCAAACAGTGCTTTTCCCTTCTGATGTGACTCAAATGTCCACATCACCTTCCCCCTTTTCTTGAAAACCATATTCCTTTCAAGGGAGAGGGAATACACGAGGAATCATCAATAAGTATCACAAACTAAACTTTAATTTGAGGTGCAGTATCTTTGCAAGAAAAGATAAATCCAACTAATAATAAGTAATAACACCATACAGATGATAGAATATTATTATAATATTATAATTTTGTAAATTTGAGAAGCTCCTAAACTGTTTCTAACACAATCCAACTCCAAAAGTTTGCAGAAGAAAAAACATATTTGACCAACTGTAGTTTATTAGTGAATGCATGCTAACACGAAAATTTGTGAGATGCTTAACAAGAAGCGCGAAGAAAAGCAACATTGCGAACTGAAATCAAAAGAGCACAACATTGTTCGCACACAAAAAATGAAGCATACTACAAGACAGAGAAGACTGACCACATGGTATATTGCAAGGTTGTCCTTATCATCCATATAACTAGCTTTCAGCTTGAAGCGTATCATATAAATAACCCAGAGGGTGGTCACCAATGTAGCCATATCAAGTATGGTGTGTATATCATATTCCATCACAAAACTGCAGTAGAGTCTAACACCTAGAAACATAGCCGTCAGCTCCTGCGATTTAAGCGAAAGCCCTGCGAAAATTTGATTTAAATTTGGCCATTACACATGCATGCTAATGGTAATGGAAATGCAAATACATTATATAAGATTATTTTCTTCTCATTTCCTTTCCCGTAAGACAAGATCGTATACTAACACCAGGAAATCACATGAACCAATAGAACATAACCCTCGCCCGAAATGTTCGAGGCAATTTATAAAAATTAAATTTTTTTTGAAGAAAGAGGGGCGTTGCTGGTACCGGCGCAGGTTTTTTCCTTGGTGAGCTTGTAAATGAGGACGGAGATTCCTAATGCATGGACAAACTCGGCGGCGACGAAGAGGCTGTCGTGGTCGTGGACGACGATTCTGAGGAAGAGCAAGGCGGCGAGGCCCAATAGGACGGCGAGAAAGGCCTTCATCTTGGGCGGTTGCCGCCGAACCCATGTCGTGACGGCGTGGATCGACCTTTTGCTTCCCTTCATTTCCTAACAATTAAATCCTTTATCTTCTTCTCTTCTCTATAGTCCTTCTTCCTTCGCAAGGTAAATTTGTCTAATCTCATCTCTTCTCATCTATGTTCCGACTTCAACATGAGTTTGAGGGGACACGTGTGCATGTGGTTTGAGGTGCGTGTTTATTACTTATTAGTTATGCGACGGGTGGGTGTGGGACGTGGGTTGCTCAACGACTCTTGTTCCCACATCATCTCCTCCCTACACCTTCAATTGCATTTACATGGCCCACTTACCAATTTCGTAATGGCCCATTAATGCAAAACATTTTCACCTGGGGCCCTCTCCAACATATATACTTCTCCTAATTACTCATATTCATATTAACGCCTATTTCAAAATCGTACACACTCCAACTACTTCGTTACCAAAAACAATAATTTAACTAAACCTCTTGCCCCATAGTTATAAGACTTAATAATCCATTGGGATTATATACATGTGTTTAAATAATGTTTAATTAAGCCTATTTAAATACATATTAAAAACATTTTCTTTACAACTACTGTTGTTAAAAATAGAGTTATTTAGATTTTAAAAGTACTTTTAAATTTATATTCAAATATATTATTGTCTTTGACTAAACTATTCAAAAGTGTCTTGTGTTTGTTTTTAAGATCTAATGAAGATTTAAGGTATATTTGAAAACCAGTCAAGTTTAATATTTCAACTAAGATTAAGAAGAAAAAGAAAACTACACTCACAATTTTTTGATTATTTTACATTAAAACATATGTTTTGTTTCAACTGTATCCTTAAAGTCAGGTTAGTTGTAAGATAGTGAAATTAGGGAGACATTTTGTTATTGAAGGTGGGCCAAATATATATATTTACTCAAATTGTTGAAAAAGAAAGACATTGACATATCTAAAACCAAAAAGGTGCGGATAGTGGATACATATAAAGTGCTTAACTATTTCTGATCTCCCTTTCTTGCTAGGTACATGATAGCACGGTTATATGATTAAACAGAGAGGAAGTAGCGTATATAATGAATCATTAATTAATAAATTCTGATGTGATATTGGGCGGGGCCTAAGAAAGTAAAGTAGTAGTATCGATGAATGACTGAGTATGACTTACATATATGATATGATATGATGGTAGGAATTCTAGTAGGGTCTCGAAATGAGTGGCGACCACATGGACCGGAAATCGGAGAGGTAGGAGGCGAGAACCAAAAGCAAGACCACCAACGCCGCTACGCCCCAAGGAAACCCCCCCGGTGGTGTTCGCAGTCGTATGCCACCGGAGAACGGCGGCGGCGGCGGAACCAGGAGGCGTGGCCCATGCTTAGAGATGGTGTAGGCAATTAAAATCAAGAAAAGGGGCAGAAACAAGAGGAACACGTGGAAGGCTATGGTGGCTGTGTGCAGGGTGGACTTGAAGTTTATGTAAGACGGAAGAAACAACAGAAACATGACGATGCCGACTATGGCCACCAGCTGCAACGGAGGTGCAGATAGCGAGGAGAGAGTGCTTATTGTCCACCCTTGCTTCCATGCTGGCCCCCTCCTCTCCTTCAAAGGCCACACCATTTTTCTCTTCTCATTCACAACTCACTCACTCTCTCTCTCTCTCTGCTTGTTGGAGAATTTATAATTCTAGTTATCATACATGGGATCAATTCAGACAGAATTGTCTCTCTCTGTGTGTGCCAGTTTGTGATTTCTGTGTGTTTGCTTTAGCATCAATTCTGAGCTGTGCATAACCCACCTTTTCTTTCAACTTTTTAGCCCATCGGGATTGATGCCAAAGGAGATATATATTCTTCAATGGAGAATTACCAGAATATATTCTTCGTTGCTTTTTCATGCAAAAGATTTTATAAGATATACCAATTCTTTTCCATATATTAGAAATGAACAAAAGATTCATTTGTTGGTCAATCTCGGTACTTAATCACTTAATCCTCCAATAGTCGATCTCTTAATTTAATAATCCGAAATTCACTTAGTGTAGATAATTGTATAACATAATCGATTGTAATTCGATGTTGATATTTAATCATCCAGAAGCCGATACCTATATTAACTAACTTGAAATTCGCTAAGTGAAGAAAATATATACCATAATCGATTGCATACTGATGTCGATGTCAAAACATATACATGCTGATTTAATATTAACTCGAAATTCGCTAAATGTATATAGTAATCGGTTGTAGACCAATGTTCAGAACATCTACGAGCTACTGTCATTATGAACATCTGGAGCATTCAATGATTTTCTCCTGTGTCCTTTTTTTGTTTTTCTCCCGTTCCTCTCCTTAGAGATGTCTATCTGCATTTAACCTAGCGGTTGAGACTCTCTTTTCCCAATTTTTTGGCTTATTTTCTTATTATTATTTTTTTCAATGAAATATACTTATCTTATCACATAAGAGTTTATACTCTAATTCTAGTATCTTAAATAAATCTTTATAGTAGGTATGACACGTCAATTCTATACTGACCTAAAATGTTATAATAAACTTAATACTTTATAAGTCCTCAACTTAGAATGTGTTAATTTATAGTTGGTTGACCTATGATTAAGATAATTGTTCTCAAGTCGATCAATCATAAATTCAAGAGCAAAATGTTAAAAAAGCTTATGAGATTGGTTGGTCACAGACTTAGGAAGTAGATCGACCTTGTAATGCCATGGAAATATTGGGCTATTTAGTAGATATACTTTATGTATATATATGTATGTATATATGTGTATGTTGTTTATATGGATTTGGATTGGATTATGGAGGTGTGGATTTGAAATGTACTTATCTTTGTGCATGTTGTATAATTATGTGGTTTTGATTAGTTGTTTGGATATAGTAGTGATTTTGTAGTATGAGATGAGAGGTTTATATAGGCATGTGTATCATAAATGTAGTGAATGATGCATTGTACACCATTATACTAAATTGGTACTAAGAGGGAAGAAGACTAATCACATTCCTTCTCATCTTAGTTAAGTAAAGTATTATGACATGCAACTCATTATTTCAAGCATATATATCTGAAAGTGATGTTTGTTTGTGTTGATACATGTTGCATTTCATATGGTGGTGAATTGTGAGTATTACATGGAAAGGAATACGATGGGTAGGAGATTGAAAGATAGGAACATAAGATAAATCTGGTCTTTCTGAGTGAATTTGAGGTTGTTTTAGAGCTTAGGGAGTTGAAATACTTCAAGGAATATAATATTTGAGGTGAATAGGTGCTAAGGGTGAAATTGGAAATTTTGGAAAATGGCTATATATAGGGACTTAGGACCGGAGGGTCTCATTTGTCAAACAGAGACAATTTCTAGAGAGAGGAAGTAGAGAGAGAGGCTCTGGTCCGGAGGGAAGCTAAGGATACATTTGGGAAGTTTATCAAGCTAGGATCAATCTTCATAATTGGAGTTTCAAGAGATTTGGCCTCTAAAGCCTTGAAAAGGGGGATTAAAGTTTGTGTTGGGATTTGAGGGTTTTGTCCAAATCTTGCATTTCTGAAGTTTCTAAGGTAAGGGTAGTACTTATAAGACTTAATCTGGTGTGTATGGGTTTGAAATATCACATTGATTCCATGTTTTATGCATGATTAAGGTTGGATTGAGTGGAAAGGGTTTGGTTGGGTTTCTTCATGATTTCCATGGATTAATGGTTAAAACTTGATTTTATCGCTTAATGTGTTGTTTTTGGATAGTGTTTATGCCTTATAATGGTTCGAAATCGTGTAATTTGGATTGGGTTTGTGTTGGGAAGAAATTTTTGAGGTTTTCGGGAGTTTTTGGTTGTAAATTCGTCGGGCGCAGGGTGTACCATCTTGCCAAATCACACCGGGCACGAGGCTAGTCGCGCCGGACGCAATTTGAAATGAGAATCCCTGGGTGAATCACGTCGGGCGTGGGGAGAACCATGTCGGGCGCACTATCAGACGTGGTCCTTGTGTTTTGGTTACTGATATTGCGCCGGGCGTAGGATTATTGCGTTGGGCGCAAAGACCTCTATATGTCTCTATTTGAGTTTTGCGCCGGGCGGGATATTAGTGTGCCGGGCGTGAGTATGTTGGTCTTTAAGTCTTCATGAAAGTTGTAGCCTTGGATGTTAGATTTCCAATGGCGTTGGAATCACCCAAAAATGAGGTCTAGAACTCCAGATATGACTATTTTAGTGAACAGGGGTCAAGCTGCCAGCATTGGTTTTAGCTGTTGCGGTTTTTAGAATTTTTAACAAAGTAGATGATGGAATTAGTTCTTGATGTCTTCATAAGAGTTGTAGGAAATCTTCTTATCTTTCATATGAGATAAAGATGAACATGATAGGAGTAATATAATTCTTGATATGCTGTTTTATGTGAAGATTGTCATTTCACAAAGAGTGATTTGGTTAAATTGATAGTTGTTTTGGGTGTTTAATTATTTATGTTGTTATATTGAGTAATTTGGCATGGTTATGGAAAAGTTTGTATGTAATTATGGAATATGCTATGTGTGTTTGGTTTGGAAAGCTAATAGGTCTTAGAGGAGTAAGGTTATGGTATGGATTGAGAGATCTCTTGGTGAGATCAGGATATAATCTTTGGGAAAATATGGAATTTGGGAGTCCCATGGTGAGGATTCCAATATGGAACTTTTCCAAAGATTATATAATAAACCACTTCAGATGTTAGGTGGATTCTGAAGTACTCCTCTAAGTATTTGTTGAGTGTCTTTTATTCATATATTCACTCAACTTTTGGCACTCTTTTTGGATGAATTGTAAATATAGTTATGCTAATTTACTCTTTAAAAGTTATTTTAGAAGATAGAAGAGTAGTAGAAGAGTTAATGTTGATTTTCTCTCTTAACTGCAGCAAAAAAATTGAGGAAAAGAATTCTGCAGCCATAGCTCTGGTTCTGCAGCTATAGCTGTGGAAATCTGGAAGGAAATTCTATAGGTCAGAAAGTTGCAGCCATGGCTGTGGTTCTGTAGCCATAACTGTGGAAACCTTCAGTGCAAATTGGGACTCCAGAGAGTTACAACCATAGCTGTAGATCCACAACTAGAGCGGTGAGGCATTGGAGATCAAGAAAAGTCACAGAAACTCATAGCCATAGTTGTGGTTCCATAGTTGGAGTGTCAGAAATTACTTAACCATGAAGGAGTCTCCACAGCTATAGCGCTGGTTCCACAGCTACAGCTGTGGGCTTAAAGTGTGCAACTTCTCCCCTGTTTTGAAGCCAATATAAAAGGGGAAAACAGAGAAAAAGAGGGTATCACGAAAATTACAGAGAAAAACAGGGGAGAAGCACGTGAATAGGGAAGAACGAAGGGAGAACAAAGATTTGGAAGCTGAATCATTTGGGAACGAAGATCAACTCCATTTCTTCATCCTTCACTTTGTAATTTCTTCTTTTCACTCTTTGATCCTGTAATGGCCATGTGTGGCTAAACTTCTTAAGGATTGGTTGGATGTAACTACTAACTCTTCTTCTTCTTAAATATATGCATTTTGATCTCATTATTTGTGCATTGATTCTTCTCTTAATGCTTATATCGGCTTGATCACCCGTTGTATGATTTTTGGTTTTTGAATCCAGTTGGAAAACGTTTTTGAAAACCCGAACTGAATCTTGCACCTAATCATTTCTTGTTCTAGGAATAGACTTGATTTGGTTAGTCACATTGTTCAAGTCATTGTTCTTAATGCGAAGTGTTAAACTCAAAACATAGAGGAATCATGTTTTGAGCTTAATGACTTTAGGATTCAACCTTGAGGAATCTTGTTGGATTACTTAATGAACGTGGAAATAATGGAATTAGAATCGCATGTATTTTAAGAAGATCTATGAGTTAGCAAGTGCTTCTGGACCAATCCTTGTCTCTTAATCATTGTTCTTACTACGTTTATTTTATTGTGTTGTTCTAATTTGTTTTCACTCATTTGCAATTATAACAAAATTCTCATTTGAATCATTAGAGCAAGAATTACTAAACACTCAAATCCCTGAGGACGATATTTGAATACTACTTCGAAACTTGGTTCACTTGCCAAGTGGTGTGTTTGCAAAAAACCTCATCAAGTCTCTGGCGCCGTTGCCGGGGATTTGGTGCTATTTAGTAATTATTAATCTTGTGATTTTGTAATTGTGTAAATAATTCATTTTGTGAATAGTTATAATATAGAGATATTTGTCTTGTTGTATTTTGTGGACTCACCGTGCTGTGCAGACTTCTTGGAAGTGTATGCGAGGGAAAACTCCAGCCGAAGAATTGCATTTTGACCCTGAAATTGAAAGAACGACAAGGAGGAATAACAGTAGAACAAGAAGGCTGAGATAGTTAGAGAGAATCCAAAAACAACAAATAATTCATTCTAAGTAACTGCCTCCAACTTCCCCTGAATTATCTCAACCTACAAAGGAGCAAGAGCAGAGTGTGAGGATAGAGTCAGTTTTCGTAACTTCCATATTTTCATACATAAAAGTCTTTCGCACTGTCTTTTTCTTTTTCTCACCCTCAAATTACAGCATCGTATGTTTCTCCAAGGTATCTCTCAAAGATACTCTATCTCTCAAAGATACTCTAACTAGATACTACACGTATCTTTAGCAAAGATTCTGTATCTTCTGTATTTACATGCATGACTAAAACTAGATTATGTATCTTCTGTATTTACATATATGACTAAAACTTCAATTTATTTTCTTCTTTT